CCACGCTTGCACCTTTTTGGTTGGCAGAGTTTTTGATGATTTGACCCTGCTGGAGGAAAATGTGCCCAATTGTTACCAAACACTGCCAAGATATGTGAACTATCAAATACATGAATATGTTTTATCAATCATCATCAGTAATTGTTATAACAAATTATTCAGCATAACCTGTACAATAAAAGAGGAACTGAATGTATTCAGCATCATTATTAATTATCATTGACACCTATGCTGTTCCACTCAAAAGGCCTTCAATGCAAAAAGGAATATAGACTAAAAAGTACAATCGCCCTGAAACTTGGTGGAGAAGAAGAAAGAAAGTAGAAAGAAGGAATACACTGGAAATATTCAAGTACAAGTACCTCTACTAGCTCTTAGGTTCAGTAGTGGGACAATATACTTAGTTATTTCCCACCACTGCTGGTAGTTGTTGTGGTTTCATGATAGACGTAAGCAGGCTGGAATGCCAACAACATGAATCACATAAGTGGGTGTCTCCATACAGCAGATATGTTGTGTGCAAATCTGCTCACCTTGTTTAACCTCAACACAAACAAAACGCTTATTTGATTTGTTTGCAAGAAAAAGATTGTGCAATGTTATGTTACAGCTTGTTAAACTGCCCCCAAGTGGCCAAACAAATCAGTCAATTCAGGTTAAAAAAAGTACCTATATATAGTTTCTCGATTTCCTATGTATTTGATACACTCCAAACTATTTTTCACTTTATAGGTACCATGGTTCACTTAAGTAACAGGTTTGGATTAGCAATGAAGCAATATATCAAAGAATGACAGTCACACTAGTGGGTGTGTCCATGCAGGCAGGTAACTCATGTCCAAACCTGCTCAGCTTGTCTAGTGCAGTGAAGCAGCTCCACATACCTGCATTTGGAAACTGGATCATTCTGTGCCTGCACTCCTCTCTTCCTAGATCATTTTAGAACAATAGCAGATATGCCTGTCAAAGTATTTTATACCAGCGTCAGCTGCTCCACAGAGGTACAGTGCTGTCTTACTTGTTTGATTGTTTTACTTGTAGTAATTTTTTATAGAAGATTCCATTTAATAAAAGATTGTCAGAAGTCACGCTGATATGCATACATTTTATTTCTGAATAACTGTAACTGCTCATCATGGCCATTGAAGAAATGTATATTGCAAATCAAAACTTTGTGATAACGTTTAAGTGTAAGGGTTATACATGAATTTTATATTTATGTAACTGATGAAATACTATCCTTTCCAGATCAAGAAAAAACAGCAACAAATCTTGGATGTCCTTTCCGCCAAGAAAGTAGAATTTGAAGCTATAGACATTAGTCAGGATTCTAATACCAAGGATGAAATGAGGGAAATGGCAAATGACCCTACGGCTCTACCTCCTCAGATATGCAATGGGAACGAACATTGTGGGGTAAGTCTCACACAGTTACCAAAAGTAATGATAATTTCTGGTGACAATGCAACAGCTTATTGGAACCAACAGAATTACAATTGAATGTTAATCATTTACATCAGGGGTGGGGAACCTCCGGCCCCCGGGCCGTATACGGCCCGCGAGACCATTTGGTGTGGCCCTCGAGGTAATTTATAAACACACGCAAAAAAGAAAAAAATTAAAGAAATCTAGACCGCAAAATAATTAAACAAGTGAGTGCCTGTTTATCCTGGCCAAGGTCAGGGTCCTTGAACACAACACAAGCCTAACGTGTCATCACGTGGTATATATCTCGACTGACAGGAGTGTAGTTCTGACGGGGAGCACCAGAACGCAGCTCCGCTCCGGTGTCAGTACCAGATATGTTCGGGCTACCAGATATGTTCGGGTGTATTTCCGTCGCATCCGTCATCCGTCATATTCGTCATATTTTACGGCAACTCAAGAGGGCCATCACGGTCAAATTCCGAACATTTAAACATAGCCGACACTTCATTCTTTACTTTGTCCGTTATTATATGTAGAAGATTATACTTTTTCTCCGTCATGTTGTTTCCTTAGCAACAACTTCAAACAGGCATAGCCTATACTTCATTCTTTACTTTCTCCGTTATTATATGTAGAAGATATTAATTATTTCTCCGTCATGTTGTTTCCATAGCAACAACTTCAAACAATAACAACTAACCGCTAGCCGCAAAGCTAGCATCACAGCCACTGCTCCGTTTTCGGAGACTTTGCACACGTTTTTCACAAACATGTTCACACGCTAGGAGTACTTCCACTAGCTTCGTCTTGATCTGTAGATGTGATTTGATGTGTCGTGTGTCCCCCAACTCCTCCCCAAAGTTCAGATATTTAATAAAATACTCAGGGGAGTTTCCTGAATTTTCATGCCCAAGCACTAGGCCCTGGGTAAATTAAGAGGCTGATCTCGGGCACTTTTGTCCACTTTCCCTGGTGGTCGAAACTCAAGCCAGACATCCCTGGAATCGTCTCGGAGAGTAGATGATCAGTGGGGCCTTGTTTTTACTGAATGATGTGTTTTTTTATGGGGAATTCAAATATGAGCTTATTTTTAGGATTTTCGGAGACTTTGCACACGTTTTCACAAACATTTTCACGCTAGGAGTATGGGAGTACTTCCATTCGCTTCGCCTTGATCTGTAGATGTGATTTGATGTGTCGTGTGTCTCCCAACTCCTCTCCAAAGTTCAGATACTATATACAAATACTAAAAGGTAAATAAAACATTAAACATAATGACAAAATAACAACCTGAAATATATGTATTCTATCTACACATTTCGTAATTATCTAATCTAGTGGCCTTATAAAAGTGTTGGCTAAAGTAACGCAGAATATATATATATTTTTAATTGTAAATAATTAGAAACATTATTTATGTGCACAAGTACATGGGACCCCACCATAGCACCCCACACATAACAAGCTGTCCCGAGTTGCAGTTCCGCAGACGGCCGGTGTGTGGCAGCAGAGCGCTGGGAGCAGAGGGAGGTGAGTATATGACGGATGACGGATGCGACGGAAATACACCCGAACATATCTGGTAGCCCGAACATATCTGGTACTGCAGTACCAGATATGTTCGGGCTACCAGATATGTACACCGGCACTTCCAAAAATTGCAGTACCCATAAGGAGCCGTACATATGCTGCAGTTTTTGCGTGGCTGTGTCTTAGTTTTAAGCCCAGTGGCGATCTGTCATACTGATCATACAGTCAATAACTTTGTTGTTATTAGCATCTTGTTAGCTAGCTATGCTAACGAATATAAGAAGCTTTTTCTACAACCAGTGAGGTAAAGGCACATCTTTATATGATCATTATAGTTATAAAAAAATAAGAGAATAAAGTAAACAGGTATAAAATACTATATGACAGTAACAAAAAGTTGTTATTAATAAACAAGACTACAGTTTGAAAGGGGAGTGATTTGTAAAATATCCATAAAGAAAAAGAAAATCTGCTTACAGTTATGTTTCATATGGGTGTTGAGAGATGTATCCATAGATCTAATGTTGCTCTCAAAGTGCACCAGATTGATGCTTTTAACTTCGACATTTAAAAAAAAATCTTTCCGGGGGTGCATGCCCCGGGACCCCCACTTAAATCATGTTCACATGGATAGGAAACTAAATACATTTGCACACATCTTGTGTCCATATCTGTCTGTTTTGGTGGTCATGGTAAGATATCTGAATTAAGAGGTTGCTTTTTCTTTGCACAGCATGAAGAAAGGTGAAATGAGTGGGCTGTGATTTTAGTATTTTTAAGCAGAGGTCAATAATTTGTACGGCCCTCGGAGGATGTTGAAAACATTTAAATGGCCCTTGAGAGGAAAAAGGTTCCCCACCCCTGATTTACATGCTAGTGGCACTTGAAAAGAGGAAAAACAATGTGGTAGTCCACAGCGCGTATAGACTTAGAAATTAAAATAAATATTTACAGTACCACCCAATCACCTAAGATCCACACACACACACACACACACACACACACACACACACACACACACACACACACACACACACACACACACACACACCACACACACACACACACACACACACACACACACACACACACACACACACACACACACACACACACACACACACACACACACACACACACACACACACACACACACACACACACACACACACACACGCACACCACACACACTTCATTGCATTTAGATTTTGTCTGAGAGGAAGTTGTTCTTGTTTTGAGGGGCGCACCTTGGATCATTGAAGGTTGCCAAAAAATATTAAAAGTACAAATTACAGCACACAATATCTCTCAAATATGTATTCATTTTATTAAGATTTGTTTGAAAAATATATACAGTATATTTTGATATGAACTGCTTCTGTGTTTATTTTCTCTCTTTCTTGCATCTCTACCCTAAAATCCTTGACCCCCAACATATTTTCTTTCTTTTAGAACTACGAAGCATTTTTGGGAGGCAATTGAGAACGAACAGTTGGAGGCGTTTCTCAAGCTCTAAAAGGAATGGAGATCTTTGAAAAATACTATTAATATTTCTGTTAACTGTCATTTGATTTGGCAATGTCTGATAATGTTCAGCTAAACATATTTGCCTTCTGAAATGTTTGGAGTTGCATGAATGAAATAAAAAATAATAATAATTTGAACTCTGCTTGTTGCCCTTATTGACACTTTTTCTATGTAAAAGTCTGGAACCAAGTCGTATCGATCTGCACATTTACCAGGGATTGTTGTAGCACCTTAATTATGATAAAAAAAGTACCCCCAAACCTAAAGACAACCACACTTACAGTCTAACAGTCTAACCATGGTTATTTCATAATGACATACATAACCAAAAAGTAATTGGTCAAATTCTTAAACACAATAATACCAGTTACATTGCAGAGCCATGCATAAAAAAAGACATCCCCAATTTGTCAAACTGGCCCCCAAAGGGCCAAACAATTCAGTAAAAGCATTTTTAGAAAATGTGTTTAATCTGGATCCCCTGTATTTGTTTTAGGTCAAAAACTTTAATATTTTACTTTCCAGGTACTATGGTTCAGTTCAGTAACAGGTTTGGAGGAGCATTAAAGGAGGATCTCAACGACAGGTGCAATGGAGCCCTCTATGAAAGGTAGTACATATAATGTTATTTGCAAAGATATACATATTTTGTTTTAGATCAAACAACTTTAAATTGATTGCAATTGTCCTCCTCCTCATTCCCCTCAGTGCCAGAAATACCCAAGAGAATGAGCAGACACACAGCCCCGGGCAGGACGAAAACAATGCTGAAGTTGATAACTCTGTGGAGAGGATCCCTGAAGATCTGGCTGGGAGAGTGTGCTATGAGCTAGAACCACTAGTTTTCCCTTGATAACTAAATGCATCAAGTAATGAAGAATGTTGTGCAATTTCACAAAACGTGAAAAGTTTGGGTGGTTAAGTCTGCTGCATCTTTAACGACAGCCAACAATGGTGTCACAGTGTATCGGTGACTAGCTGATGATCTGTTGCTCTTTCAGGAAGACCAGGTTTAAGTGTGTTTTTACACAACATTTTATTTTTTTAATCTACACACTTCCTCAAATATATGCTGCATTCTTTGCTTTATTCCTGTTGTGGCTTACATTTGACAGAGAGATTCTATTGATCAGAAAGCTTAGATCGACTGACCTGCAGGAGTAGGCTGATTACATTGTCTTTGCATTCTATGGTAATTAGCTTTATTTGGTGTATGTGAATGCAGACCAATACATATATATTTCTTACCACGCTTACACCTTTTTGGTTGGCAGAGTTTTTGATGATTTGACCCTGCTGGGGGAAAATGTGCCCAATTGTTACCAAACACTGCCAAGATATGTGAACTATCAAATACATGAATATGTTTTATCAATCATCATCAGTAATTGTTATAACAAATTATTCAGCATAACCTGTACAATAAAAGAGGAACTGAATGTATTCAGCATCATTATTAATTATCATTGACACCTATGCTGTTCCACTCAAAAGGCCTTCAATGCAAAAAGGAATATAGACTAAAAAGTACAATCGCCCTGAAACTTGGTGGAGAAGAAGAAAGAAAGTAGAAAGAAGGAATACACTGGAAATATTCAAGTACAAGTACCTCTACTAGCTCTTAGGTTCAGTAGTGGGACAATATACTTAGTTATTTCCCACCACTGCTGGTAGTTGTTGTGGTTTCATGATAGACGTAAGCAGGCTGGAATACCAACAACATGAATCACATAAGTGGGTGTCTCCATACAGCAGATATGTTGTGTGCAAATCTGCTCACCTTGTTTAACCTCAACACAAACAAAACGCTTATTTGATTTGTTTGCAAGAAAAAGATTGTGTAATGTTATGTTACAGCTTGTTAAACTGCCCCCAAGTGGCCAAACAAATCAATCAATTCAGGTTAAAAAAAGTACCTATATATAGTTTCTCGATTTCCTATGTATTTGATACACTCCAAACTATTTTTCACTTTATAGGTACCATGGTTCACTTAAGTAACAGGTTTGGATTAGCAATGAAGCAATATATCAAAGAATGACAGTCACACTAGTGGGTGTGTCCATGCAGGCAGGTAACTCATGTCCAAACCTGCTCAGCTTGTCTAGTGCAGTGAAGCAGCTCCACATACCTGCATTTGGAAACTGGATCATTCTGTGCCTGCACTCCTCTCTTCCTAGATCATTTTTAGAACAATAGCAGATATGCCTGTCAAAGTATTTTATACCAGCGTCAGCTGCTCCACAGAGGTACAGTGCTGTCTTACTTGTTTGATTGTTTTACTTGTAGTAATTTTTTATAGAAGATTCCATTTAATAAAAGATTGTCAGAAGTCACGCTGATATGCATACATTTTATTTCTGAATAACTGTAACTGCTCATCATGGCCATTGAAGAAATGTATATTGCAAATCAAAACTTTGTGATAACTTTTAAGTGTAAGGGTTATACATGAATTTTATATTTATGTAACTGATGAAATACTATCCTTTCCAGATCAAGAAAAAACAGCAACAAATCTTGGATGTCCTTTCCGCCAAGAAAGTAGAATTTGAAGCTATAGACATTAGTCAGGATTCTAATACCAAGGATGAAATGAGGGAAATGGCAAATGACCCTACGGCTCTACCTCCTCAGATATGCAATGGGAACGAACATTGTGGGGTAAGTCTCACACAGTTACCAAAAGTAATGATAATTTCTGGTGACAATGCAACACCTTATTGGAACCAACAGAATTACAATTGAATGTTAATCATTTACATGCTAGTGGCACTTGAAAAGAGGAAAAACAATGTGGTAGTCCACAGGGCGTATAGACTTAGAAATTAAAATAAATATTTACAGTACCACCCCAATCACCTAAGATCCACACACAAACTGCCATACACTCACACACACACACACACACACACACACACACACACACACACACACACACACACACACACACACACACACACACACACACACACACACACACACACACACACACACACACACACACACACACACACACACACACACACACACACACTTCATTGCATTTAGATTTTGTCTGAGAGGAAGTTGTTCTTGTTTTGAGGGGCGCACCTTGGATCGTTGAAGGTTCCCAAAAATATTAAAAGTACAAATTACAGCACACAATATCTCTCAAATATGTATTCATTTTATTAAGATTTGTTTGAAAAATATATACAGTATATTTTGATATGAACTGCTTCTGTGTTTATTTTCTCTCTTTCTTGCATCTCTACCCTAAAATCCTTGACCCCCAACATCTTTTCTTTCTTTTAGAACTACGAAGCATTTTTGGAGGCAATTGAGAACGAACAGTTGGAGGCGTTTCTCAAGCTCTAAAAGGAATGGAGATCTTTGAAAAATACTGTTAATATTTCTGTTAACTGTCATTTGATTTGGCAATGTCTGATAATGTTCAGCTAAACATATTTGCCTTCTGAAATGTTTGGAGTTGCATGAATGAAATAAAAAATAATAATAATGTGAACTCTGCTTGTTTCTATGTAAAAGTCTGGAACCAAGTCGTATCGATCTGCACATTTACCAGGGAATTGAGATTAAAGTCGCTGCATTATTCCATATGTATAAACCATAGACTGTATGGTAGACTGGTATAAACCATAGACTGTATGGTATAAACATACAATCGTACGTAGTATTAGCAAAGCAACAGACATGACTGGAAGTGTCCCAAAACTTAGAGAAAAAAACCCACTTTTAGTATAGAATTCTTAGAGTATTTGTCCCAAATACTAATTTAATAACTAAATGTAATTGTTGAAAAAGTGGGAACAGAGAATAACATCTATAAAACTGTTCCCCCCGTAGACTGTTCCCCACAGGCCACAGGCCACTGGTGCTTGCTGGGAGGCTTTCAGTATGTGCCTCTCTGGGTGCCACGAAAATAAAATAAAAACCCTGTTGAAGGACCAAACTATATATATATATATATATATACAGTATATATGGGCAGCTGTGCCGAATTAGTAGCCTTCTATTGGTAGCCCTATATATTTTGATGTTAATACTTTTGCACTTTAAGTTAAGTAAAAACAACAAATAACGGACTTTTACTCCATTTTTTCTTTTACACTGTGGTATTACCATTTGTATAGAAGTAAAAGGGCCTGAGTTTGTCCACCTACAATTATTTCATAATTATTTATTTATTTCTGTAATATTGAACATTGAAACTAAAACAGGCAGCATACTGGACGACCCTCTAAAGCACGGACGGGGCCTTCTGCTTTTAAAGCAATGTCGCGGAGTTATGACGTCCTCTTTACACGCTGACCGAGAGGAGGACAGGGTACGTTTCTCCCACTACCGGCACAATCTAAAGGATATATCAAACATCTTGATATATAAAGTCATCACCATGAACCGTTTATGTTTAATAACAACTCTTCTTTCATTTTTGTTCTTTATTTCAGATCTTTATATCCAACATCCATCGATAATCAACAATGGCCGAGGAAGGGTGAGCATAATTACATTCTTCTATCTGTCGCTAACCAACAAAGCGAGGGATTTCTAACAAACTGTTCTTACTCTGAAAAGTGGTGATAGAGGGGCTGAAACTTAAAATTATTTTGAGAACATGTCGTCCACACTTGTGCGGTTATAAATGTTAGTTGTAGTCTATTGTTTTGCCGAAGCTACTGCTAGCTACCTAGCTTAGCAACATGTAAACTTATACTGTGAGGTGATTAGACCAACATATTTCTGCGTGTGCAGCAGTTATCAAGTGTAGGTAAGGCTAAACAAACTAAAGTTGAACGTGGTTATGTTTTGATCAGCTCTTGCTATGCTAACACATTTTACCAGGTTTTTAGAAATGCACTGAATGCTTACATTTAGCCTGTTAGTTTTTCTTTTCAGGCTCTTGTTTTATTCCATGCAGAACTTGCACCAGACAGGGATTATATTATCCATCCCACTTAAATGGTTAGCTGTCCTCAGGCATGCAATGAAATGCTCAGTGTGCTATTCCCACTTCAAGCGAGTTCTCTGGCGCTTGAATGATGACTTTATTTCTTTTGTCGGATACCCCTTCTCTCTACAATGAGTGAGAACCCTGTTCTGACAACGCCAGAAGCTCAACTGAAATCTGCTAATATATGAAGCCTATTTTGCTAAAATAAAACACAAAACAATTCTGTTTTTAGTAGCGTCCCTGCTGCAGTCCCTGCTGGAGGTGCTGCTGGAGGTATTTCGACGGGTGTGATGGATGTCAACACTGCTCTCCCTGAAGTGCTCAAGACCGCACTTATCCACGATGGCCTTGCCCGTGGTATCCGTGAGGCTGCCAAGGCCCTGGACAAGTATGTTTCATTTTTATTTAGTTAAACATTTTTTTAATGTGGTTTCGCATCCCGGATGACATCCTGGCTCCCTCTACTGAACCTTTGTGTGGATGCCTGCCAATGTTACCCAATTTTTGTCTTGCCACACATTTTTGGGAATGTGTTAATGTTGCCTTTGCTGCAAACTAAATCATGATTGTTTTTGTATTTTCCAGGCGTCAAGCCCATCTCTGTGCCCTTGCAGGCAACTGCGATGAGCCCACATACGTCAAGCTGGTGGAGGCCCTCTGTGCGGAGCATCAGATCAACCTGATCAAGGTAACAAGGCTGCTCATAACCGACTGATCGAGTATCTGGCTTGGGAAATTCACATGAACAAATGCAAAGGGCTGTGAAACGGTCCTGTTGGCGGTGCAGCAAGAGTACACACATTGCTGCCGTTATGTTGAAAACATAAATTATAATTACACCTCATTGTTTATCAGGAATGACTGAAGTTAAAACATGCTGTTGAACCTTATTTCAGGTTGATGACAACAAGAAGCTCGGCGAGTGGGTCGGTCTGTGCAAGATCGACCGTGAGGGCAAACCCCGTAAGATTGTGGGCTGCAGCTGTGTGGTGGTCAAGGTAAATGATGCGGTTCACTTCATGTTTTGCCTACATTTAAGAAAAACAAACGGAATAGACGCTCAACATATTCCTGCTAAGTATACACTATCTGCCAGACAAGTGCAGCTGCTGTGCTTTGTGCCATGCAGCTGTTGTTTAAAAACATCTGGCCAAATGAAAGCCAGGGTACGAGCCCCGTCGTCTAACTGTGGTGTCTGGGGTCCCTAAGAATGGCAACAAATAGTAACGAATGGAAACGAGCACCATGATTGATGGGTCATGACTGACTTACCCCCTAGTTTGCTGTTTATTCCAATCAACATGCCTGTATATTAATTTCTAGTGTTTATTTGAAGTTGCTGCAATGATTCCAACAGATGTGTTTTTGGGGCTAGACTTTTGAGTACTATATAAACTAATGCTCAGTTTTACCACTATTATTCACACGATGTGTTTAGGTGGGTCAGACTGAATGTAAATATCCCTTGACCCAACAAGGCCCTCAA